CCAAAAAAAATGACCTTGAACCGCATGAAAACGAGGGCGTCCCTTTACAAATAATTAACAGTAAAAAAAAAAAAAAAAAAAAAAAAAAAAAAAACGTTCACTTTTAATATTGTAATTCCATTTGTCTTCTTCCACTTATGTGACGCTTGTGGACGCTTCACCCAGAGGCGGCCACGCCCTGCTGGAGGATGGCTCTGACATGGGCTACGTGGAGGACGGCACGCCCTGCGGTCCCAACATGATGTGTCTGGAGAGACGTTGCCTCCCCGTCGCGGCGTTTAACCTCAGCACCTGTACAGGATCTAAACTTGGACACATTTGCTCTGACCACGGGGTAAAGACATTCAGAACATGATTTGATTTTTAGATGGAAAAATGTGGGTGTTTATTTATTAAACTGGTTTTTCTTCTCCAGGATTATTTTAAAACAGAGGCTTGATATTTCAAATATTAAAAAAAAAATCATAATAAAATCCAAACTTACGTCTATGGATTCATGTTGTAAACAATATTTATAAAATACTCATTGTGGTAATATAGGTTGTTGAAAGTCTGGCGCTTTAATTTAATTTAGTTTTGTTTTATTTTCCACATTCTATTGATTTTTATTTTTGCGTGGACAGGCATTCAGGAAGAATAAATGTTTAAAACGTATATAAAAGTTCTGATATTCGTTATTAAAATTTATGTCAAAAAATAAGATAAATCATATAGAAAAATATTGGTGGTTTTACAATCACAGGGGTTTTCTTTTGTCTTTTTTTTCCAATATTTTTAACCAAAATACCTTATTTGTGAAAGAATCAGCACAAAGAAACGAGAAAAAATGAGCTAAGGATTTCACTCCATATATTTTTAGATTTCAAAAATAACTCATTTTACAATTAAAAAATGTTGATTCAAGAATAAAATGAGATGTCCTAAAGGAGTAGATTATTTCAGCAGTGAAGTAATTGATTATGTCTCTTGTTCTATAACAAATCTATACATTTAAATATACCATTTACATTTTATGTGGATTTAGTGCCAGACTGTTTTTTTATAGAGTTGACTTTTCTTTATATTACTTTTCCTATTTATTCCATTTTATTAAGACATTAAAAGCTAAATTATGGCATCTTGTGTTGAAAACTGACTAGAAGATCAGTTTACTTGTTCTGTGAAAACGTATTTGTACACTTACAGATTCCCTCAGTTTTTATATCATCAAACACATTTAATAATATCAGATGAAAATGGCCTGAGTAAATACAAAATCAATAGAGATTTGAAATGTTTTCATTTATTAAAAAATCTATCTGGAACCCTTTTTGCTGATTTTTTTTTTTTTTTTTTCCACGTTGTACCCCTGTTTGCTTACTGTTCACCCCCCAACCGTCCCGCAACAACAACAACAACAACTGCTTCTTTCCTGCAGACCTGCAGCAATGAGGTGAAGTGCATCTGTGACTGGGACTACACAGGAAAGGACTGCAGCGTTTTTGATCCCATCCCTGAGCCCACCGTCCCGACAGGCCCGGAGAAAAAAGGTCAGCGGCAGAACTCGAGCTTTCCCATCTCTCTCTCTTTCCCATCTCTCTCTCTTTCCCATCTCTCTCTTCCTCTCTCATCATATAATCCCCCGCTCATGGTCTCTTCTCACCACCTTCTCTCTGTGCTGAAACCACAAAGTGGGATAACTCACCTTATGTCATGAGGATGTTGAGCTGTGTGTTTTCCTTCCTGCTGAGTCTTGCTGGTGTGTGTTGAGCGTATGTGCTGAAATGTGAATATGTGCGCGGTGCTTAGAGGTGTTTCTTTCGTTTTTTTTTTTTTTTTTTTTTTTGTGGGACTACTTTTTTTTTAAGTGTCTCTTACTTTCTTGCAGTCTGCCAATGAGACAGAGAAATTAAGCAGCTGCTCTTTTAGGCCCAAAACTGCCACCCTGAGCAGGAGGGTGTCCAGCTGAGGGGGAATGAGAACAAAGTAAAACATCTCTCTCTCCTTTTTTTTTTCCTTCGTGTAATTGTTGTCCCCCACCCCCTTGACCCCGTCCCACTGAACCTCCCTCGCTCACCTGCCACCCAACGTGATGGTCTCCCCCTCCCCTTCATCTCTCTGTCTCTGTCTGCAGGTTTCTCACCATCTGCCTCTCTCTCTCTCTAGTTGATGTTGTACTGTGTTGATGCGGTCTTCTGACGTGTGTTTTTTAGTGGTGTTGTTTTTGTTTCTGCCCCTCCTCTTCCTCCGCACCCTTCCTCCCCTCCCCTCCCCTCTGCGCAGGTCCCAGTGGCACCAATATCATAATAGGGTCCATCGCAGGTGCTATTCTCCTGGCAGCTATAGTCCTAGGGGGAACAGGATGGGGATTTAAGTAAGAGTTCTGGCATGCCTTTGTGTACCTGTCTGCTTCTACCTCAAGAACCCCCATCCACCCCTCCCACTATCACCAGTCTGAAATAGCTGCAACTCATTGCCCAGTAGCTGGGAGGGGAGCTGGGGAAGTGAACTCTGAGATGCTCTCACGCTTGAACGCTTTATAGGCTTTGAGATCAAATCATCACCGAGGTTGTTTTTGCTCACGTTTTCCTCCTACCTAAATGCGTTTTCCCGCTTGCAGCGACGGCTGAGCAGGAGGAAGATATTTCTCTGACAGGATCCGTTAGAATCAATCCGATCTACACCACTGGTGCCACGTCTGGAAGTTCCCAGTTACTTTTGTTTGCCTTTCTGGACCTTTCAAAAGTTCTGAAGAATCCCAAATTTATTTATAAGACTTTCTGTTAACCTTCAAAAGTGGTCTCTGTTAATGGTTCACTTGAAGAAAGTTCAACACTTTGCAAGGAAAATAAAAAAAAAAAGAAATGAGGGATGACTCAAGACTTTTGCACAGTATTGTTCATGTCGGCTTAACCTAAGCAAACTTTTTCCATTTCTACTTTTATTACCTTGTTCAAGCCTCCGTCATTCATTTTTCCTCAGTAGGCCTCATCCTCACTCTAGTGCAACAGACCACCTCTGCATGCTCGCTATGGCTCCCTCTGTAAGACCCGACCTAAAAGGACGACTGATGAATTGGATTATCTTTGAAAGGTTATGATTTATTGCATGCTGTCGTTCCTTTTAGGGTCAGTGGGACAGTGCTGGCCACATTTATTAGGACTCCTGGTAAGGATGCATATAAAAACGCTAAAGTCATGCATCATTTTCTTTGGATGTACAACTTCTTATTCAAAGTTTTAGGGAACAAAAAAAACATTTAATTAAAGTACATTTGTTTAATTGGTTTATATAACATCATTGTTTTGTAGCATAACTATTGATGTTGCTGGTGGTAGTTGTTTGTGCAACCCCCTTTTGCCAAATGTACACAACTTCATCTAATCTGATAACATTTTAGAGGATCAGAAATAAAGAGGGGGATCCTCGATCATTCTGCAAAACCACAAAATCTTACCAAGAGTTTGGTGTCTAGTTTCTAATGCAAATATCTTGGCAAACTTGAGAAGAGACAAAACTAACTTACAAGTAAGTTGTTTTTTTTTTAGCAAGACATAGGAGTTTGTTTCAAGAAATTAATTCCTTAATATTGAAGTTCCACTGGCAGATTGCAAGACATTTTTCCCACGTTATAATTTAATTTGTCCGCCAATAGAACAAATACTTTTTTATAAGTATTAAGGAATTTTTTACTTAAAACATGCCTTTGTATCTTGCTGAAATTTCATTTTTAAGTTTGTCTTGTTTCAAGTGTAGTAAGATATTTGCACTAAAAACTAGACCAAGATTACTTGGTAAGATTTTGTGGGGGGGTTTTTGCAGGGAATTTGTTCCAAAATCTCTGCAGATTATCCAGAGTTCTGTTTTCTCCATGCATTCTTCTCTTGAGGTCACCCACAGGTTGAAGATCAAGAAGATGGTAGAGTTTGTGTCTTGTTGAACCATTTCTGTTGATTTGGCCAAATGTTTTGGATTATTAATTAGCTGAAAAATCCAGGAATGACCCATTTGCACATGGTGGTAAAGTCCAGCATGTTCTTATTTGCATTCTCCTGGTGTTTCACAGCAGCACAGTTCTTCCTCTAAGTTTAGCAGTAAGCATGAGGGGTTCTCACAAAATGGCCTCCTTTATGTCAGAATGATTGTTGCCAAAAATCTCAACCTTTTTCTCTTGCCAAAATTTAACAAATACAAATGTACAAAAGAGTACATTTAAGTTATTTTAAAATACTATTTCGGAGCTCACAGGGGGCTTTCTTAAAAACTATTAGTTCTTAACGTTGGTTTTGTTTCCTCTCTGAATAGATGTACTCAAATGTGGCTGGCACTGTGTGCATGAGTTTCTTCCTACTAGTCAGACTTATTAACAGTTTCTGCTGGATGTGATCTCGCCACTTTATTTTGACGGAAGATCATTTCAGTGAGACTGTCGGATGGATATCATGCTGAATTATCATTGTTGGATTTATGTCTTGTACTTGAATCCAACAGTGTCCTTCAGTGGAGCTAATTCAATAGAAACAATTTGAAGTTTTAATTCAATTCTAATTAATATTTCGCCCGTTTTGTGCAGCTAGTGTTCATGCTTCTTCACTTTGTCCCATTTTACGCAATGTTGTAACAATCTAAAGAAAAAAAACCCCAAAAAAACAAACAAACCACTGTTGTAGTAATTGTATTTGTACTTTCCCGGTCTTGCTGATTGAACATGTTCTGACTTTTTGTCTCCTTTCTTGGCTTGCTTCTGTGATGCAGGAACATTCGAAGAGGAAGGTACAATCTTAGAAAATATAATAGTCAACTTGTAACTTAATTCATTAAGATTAATTGGATGTTTTTTTTTGAGGATTATTTCACTCCTGCTTGACAACGATGCATCTCGATGCAACATCTGCTTTGACTTTAAAGCTAAATTTATATACTCGTGCCATTTTTCTGCCCGTCTGTGTTCATCTTCCTGCAGCTGTTTTTTTTTTCCTTCTGTCCTTGTGTTTCAGATCTGGAGGAGGATAAGATCACTGTCTGTCTCTCTGTATGTGTCCTGTCCATGCTCGTCTTCCTCCTCGCACCGTGTCGTTTCCACGATAAAGAAGAGGGGAATGAAAAAAAAAAAATGAACACACAAGTCTTCCATTTCAGCCCCAGGATCTCTCCAAATCTACGTAGATGATCACTTCCTCCAAACCCCCGTCTGCTCCTTCCATTTGTCCTCCTTTGGGACCCCCACCACCCTGGGGCCCATGGGGCTCCTCTCTCGCCATACCAGCCAGATCACACTCATGTGGCTGCTGCCAGCTGAGGATTGTGTCCAGGCTTCACCTAAAGCAAGGATGTGGCTGTCCCTGTGGGAGACGCCAGGGGTCCTTATCCAGTCTAGAGGCCCTTTGAATGTGCTTTGGTGTCTTCTTCTCACAGCTCAGACATTCTGGGGGAAAAAAGTACACGTCGATGGTGGACCAATTTGATAAGAGACTCAGACCTGCCACTATTTCAGTCCAAGATTCAAAGCTGGACGAGTGCACAGACCGAACTAATGTGACAGAAGATGAAACGTTGGCTTTTTTTTTTCCTTCCAAAAAAATGGACCTGAGGTTCAGTACCTCCATAACTGGCCGTGACTTGGTGCACCTTTAACTGGACAGCTATCAGATCAACATTTGGAGACGAGGAAACGACTCCAAAAGAAATCCTACAATTGTCTGTTTGCATGTTTTCCAAACAGAGGCTAAGGAAAGACTAATTGCCAAAATAAGTCGTTTGCAGTGCCTTGCAAAAATATTCATACCCCTGACAACCTCTTGTCACGTAACAAAAAGTTTGTAGATTAAGTGAAGCTGAATAGCTTTTCACTTTTTAAAAAAAACAAATCTGAAGTTTGGTTTTCATTTGTATCCACTCCTCTTTTATTCAGATACCCTTAAATAAAATCCTAAGTCGCCTTCAGAAATGATCTAATTAGTAAATAGAGAAGCTGTTGATGCCACAGCTATTAATCGTTAATTTTACAAATCTTGCTTTTATGAACGAAGAAGCAACAGAAAAGTCAGCTTTGAGCAAAAATAAAAACACAAGTCAGTTTTGTCGTTTGTAACAGGCCAAGGAGGTTTTCACCAAGAGAGAACAAATGGGCAGATTTCTTATAGAGCTGAGCTGTGTAGATTGATTATCTCTATTAATACCATATAAATACCATATAAATTTAAAATGGTATGCGTGTCAGAAAACCAACACTGCATGTGAACCTGAACACACAATGCCCCTGTTGAAAGATGGTAGTATCATGATTTGGGGCATGCTTTTCAACAAGGAAGCTGGTCAGAGTAAAAGAGAAAGATTGATGGAGCTAAAGACGGAGCAAACCTGGAATAAAATCTGTTAAGATACTGAAAAACTCTTCAGATTGGGGTGAAGGTTCACCTTCAGCAGCACAACAACCTTAAAGGCCCATGCCTAAATCTAAAACTGTGGTAAGACTTAACTTTCTTTTCAAAAACATTATGTCTGAAATTTCACTGTGCAATTTTGCAAAGAATAATGGGACATTATGTTCTCTAGATGTGCAAAGCTAGTAAAGAGATAACCCATAAGATTTCCTCCTGTAATAACTTTAACAAGAGGCAACTCTCCATGTTTTTACCTAAAGGTATTAATACTTTCGCAAGGCACTGTATCAATAATTCTCAGCTTATGAGCATCTTATGCTCCACTAACTTCCTCCATGAGTTTTCAGGTAAAACGAGAAGCTACGTTGTTATGGTTTTGGGATCATTTTTTAAAAGAAACCACTGAACTACGAAGCAGCAGAGACCGTAACTTAGTGTTTTAAATGTCAGAACGACCAACGTACATTCCACTCTACCTGTCCGTGTGCCCTCACCTCTTCCAAAGTGTGTAGAAGGTTTACTCTGTATGTCTGCGATTGTGTGAGTGTAAGATATTTTTAAAGGAAGCCAGAATGTACAGTATTTGTGTTTACATTTAACGTAGGGGGGCAGTCGCGTCCACGCACACGTGTAGACTCCTCTTAGGTAGGCAGGTTTTACCTCTCATCTCTTTCTACGACCTGTTGGCGGCCGCAGCCAGGCGGCGCGTTGTTGCCAGTTTTTAAGTCTTGCATCGACAGGAAACGAGCACCTGCCCACTGTACGCACACCCATTTGTAAATATGTGCAAATTATACTGAATGTTAAATGCAACCCATGAAAGCTGTGTTAAAACATTTAGTTTTGTTTCCACTAATGAATAGCCTCTGATCTCTCGTCACAGCCTGCATTTGCAAAGCCCTCTAAAACACAACTTCCTTTCATGTGTCTCTACATGTGGCTTAACAGCCCTGTCTTTCACTAAATCTTTTGTACGTTTGTTGATAGCCACCAAGCCTCTGAGAAAAAGCCCCCCCGACCCACCTACCACAAAAAATAAATTAATAAATAAATAAAAAAAAAACTCTGAGGACCCTTTGCTGTACATGAGATTAAAGTTTTGGTTTGGGGTCCAAGAGGCTGTTTGTCTGATGCTGTCAGTGTGAATGAGGTCAGTTTGGTTTGTATGAGGTTTGCACTTTGCCAGATGCACTATTGTTATTACAATATGTACAGAGGGAGCATCAGATATGATCAAGAGGGGGTTAAAAAAAAAAAAAAAAGGAAAAAGAGGCATCTTTCACCATATTTTTAGACACTATCTTTTTGGACTGAGACAATGGGGGGAAAAAAATCAACTGATGTTTGTAGATGGACTGAAATGAACAAAAATAAAATGCTGAAACATGAAGTCACCTCTTCTCTTACATTATCCTGCCTGTCTTTGGCTTTATATCTATAAAAATAGAAGGCATTACTATGATTTTTAAAGTGCGTGTACACTTGACATGTAAAATCCAATCTCATGCTACTTCTATTCAAAGCGTACATGATTCTTCTAGGTCAGATTATGGACTGCCACGCAACGTCTTTCACAGTATCTATGCTGCTGACACATAACCTTAGTCCACTACTGTCACTGAACCAAAATATTCATCATTACTTATGGATGCCCTCTATCTCAATCTAAAAGAAAACGACAAAAGTCATTGTTTTTGCCCAAAGAAGGCACGTTGAGAAATCGGCCTTTAACTAGACCCAATCAGTCTGAGGTCATGGAGGATCAGAAGAACATAACTGTGGTCTTAGACTCAAACTTCAAGATTAAAAACCAAATGCTCTATTAATAAATTAGATAATTATCACATTAAAAATGAATAAATGTCCATGTGTTTAGACAGGACATCAAATACTAATGTGTGTTTCTAATTTTAAGTAGTTTAGATTATTGTAATAATCTAAGGGTATGTCGGTGCCTAAAAAAAAATAAAATAAATCAAATTAAAAATAATTTAAAAATCAGCTGCAGGTCATTCAATATGCTGCTCAAGAGTCCTGAACTTCACCAGGAAGTTTGTATTTAAAAAAAAAAAAAAATGTGAAAATTCAAAAAATGAGAATAAGGGTTCACATTTTTGGTGTGCAAGTTTTGGCCTTCTAGAGAGACAGAAACCTAAATCGTAATTATTAAAATAATATTTTAATTGCGAGCAACATATCTTGAAAACCAAATTGTCGCTGGTGGTAATCATTCAGCATAAGAAATGTTACGAGTCACCTTGCTTATGAAAATGGCACACGGACATTCAACTTTCTTTAAATTAAAAAAAAAAAAAGAAATGAAGAAAAAAATTGCAGAAATGTCGTGAACACTTGGCAGCGCACAGGCCGACGACCGGCAAGAAAATAACGGTTTAAATAAGGCTGATATCCGTCTCTAATGTTGATCAATATGACTGGGTGGAAAAAAAAACAAAAAACAGGAGAAAATCAGTTTTGCCGTTTCTTCTCAACACTGTAAGAAATGTAAATGTCAGTTGAAAAGTCTTTTTTTGGTTTTTAGCCATGGGAGGTGGGATGGAGCCGGAGGAGTTAGCCCCTCTGCACACGGATAAAAACGGACATCAGTCGGCCTCCTCACCAGCGTCCCACTTAGATTTCGGTTCCTGCCACCACTCTGCCAGGAAGGACTCCTCATAGTCACCAATTCCTTCAAATTCAGCGTCAGGGTGTTCAGAGTGAGAGGTGGCCGCTTCTTCTGGACTCACCACTTCCTGGGTAATAGAAGAACAAGGCAAGTTCACATCAGGCGACATGATTACTTCTTTAGCCTCATTCTTTGTAGACAAAAATAAAACATTTTCCTTCTTGGTTCCCATAAATCTTTCACACGTGCTCCCTGTAATTCAGCCCTGTCCTCCTCCCCCCTCTCGGGTCCAGGAGGTTTGCAGGACTAGGAGGAGCTGACCCGAGTTAAATTGGACGTGGCGCAGTGTGAGTGGTCGACACCTCCAAGCCACATACCGCACGCTGCTGGTGGAAAACACAACACCCCTCCTTTTCATCCTCACTTCCCTCCCTCCCCCTCCGTCTTTTAGCATTCTCAACTTGTATTGCTGTGTTAGAAGTGTCATTCCCACCGTGTCTGGTCATGCAGACAGTTCAGGTCTTATCTGCTGAGACATAATCATCTCTGGCTCAGGAAACTGCCACCAAGCCAACTCATTGTGGCTTCGTAGGAATTTAGATTGTACTGCAAGACAAAATCTCAGGAATGGAAAATCTTCATGAGGTTGTCTTAGAGCCCCTACAAACTTGTCCTTGTGTCGTCTGATATATTTGAGTTTTTTGTAAATAAATTAAGATGGAAATGGACAAAAAGGCCTGTAATTACAATGCATTTTGCTAGACGATAAATTGTCCCAAAAGGTATTGCGATAAATGATAATATTGTTATTTTGAGACCATCTTAATGTAATATAACACATCCTCAAAGATCAATAAACTTTCCATTCTAATGAACATTTAACACTGGAACTGGAAGAGATTTTAAATATCCAAAATAAATAAATAATTAAAAAAAAACAGAAACAACAAATAAAATTAATTATGAAGTCTCTGTAAACAATATTGTCCTTCCAAAAAACAAAACAAAACAAAAAGGCTAGTTGAGACTATTTGTCATCCAGTTTTTGGTAGAAAAAGAAACAAGATAACTCATGTAAATGGAAATTATTGAGCTTGTTTTATTATTTTTTTTAATGCAGTTAACTGATTTATTGCTTACTGCAACAGGACTATGGACAAGTGATGCTCTGCTTACTTTGACTGTAAGACGTTTGCCAGACCCGTCGCATCTCTTATTGTCCACCAGACTTAACAGAAGATCCTTCTCACATATTTGTCTTTTTTTTTTGCATACCAAACCACCAGGATTGTTTATCAAAAATACAATGTCTACATGCTTAGACGTGTGATGGAAGGACAAGAAAATGTTTATTTTTTCCTGGTCTGATGGACATCATGAAGACTTGGTCACCTTAAGTTGCTATAGTTTCTAATATTCCAGTTCGGGAAACACAAGGCAATGTCCCTCAAGAGATTCATCAATTTTTGGATTACTTGCAGTATAGAAACGCGAAGCACAACATGCAGTCAACATCATATCTGAACATTTCTGGATCAAATCTTTGGTACACAAATGCAAGATTCAGTGGTTTCGTTTACGGTAAATGAGAAACTATGTGGTTTTATTGTTATGTTTATTTCGATATTGTATGATTAATAGCAAAGTTTAGAATTATTATGAGGCTAACTTAGCATTACTTTATCATTTTTTTGCTATTATAAAACAGAAATCCCAGAGGAAACGTACCTCATCGTCTGTGTGGAGGTAGTTCAGTGCAAACTCGAGCATTTCTTTCTGTTTGATTGTCTGGTTGTAATACCTCAGGGCCTCCTGAAACGTGAAAGACAGATCAGCATTTGAGTTAGCTTAGTAAACAACAAAAGTGTTTTATAACCCAAATTTGGTCTGTGGTTTTTTTTTTCCCCCTCTCCTGCTACAAAAGTGCCACATTTACAGTTTTACAGCTGGTACTCTGAAGCTCCTGCCAAATTTACACCACGTAAAAATGCAGAAAATACAAGTTTGTCGCGATTACGTGAGTTTCTAATTACAGCCCCTGCGACTGTGTTAACGATTACGCCAGCGCTGCTTTTTACAACGTCGCTGCCCTGCTTCACTGGGTTTGTTTTGACCAACAGCAGATGGACCGGGAAACAGCAACGGCGGCGGCGGTTTGCTTCACTCACAGGCCGCGGCTGGAAATCCTCCTCCTTGAGCCCCCACTGCGCCCGGTAGAAACGATAATAGGCGACGTTCTGCTGCATCACCTGGTCGCTGGGGTCGAACAGCATGTAACTGGCTGCGCAGGGAGCCGCGTTCTTCACGTCGTTCACTGGAACGGACGACAAGAGCTCATGGCAGATTTGTACAGATCAAAAGAGAGACGCCTGAATCTCAGTTTCGTTCCTACATTTATAGTATGAAAACTGAAGGTAGTGGTACATGGTGGCGACAAACTTTTCCACAAAGAACCCTCCGACGCTGGGCGTCAGCTGCTCCTCGCATCTCACTTTACATTTCAGCACATCAAGGAAGAGATCTGAGGGCAGAGGAGACGAACATACTGTTACGCATCTGCAGCGCGCTGAAATGAAGCTGCTGCCGTTCAACCCCGGTACCTGCTAGGGACGGGTAGAAGTCTTTAAACTCCAAGATTTCATAGGAGCCTTCGCAGCCTGCTGAGCAGAGGCTGTACACCTCGAAGAACTGCGTGATGGCCTGCTCCATGTTCCTGGCGCTGCTGCTGAAGTCTCCACTGTTGTAGAGCACCACGCTCTTTAGGAAAACACTCTACCAGCAGAGACACAGTGGTTATTGTTTTCGGCAGGCTTATACGTCGATCTGTGTGATTTTGTGTTTAAAAGGCTTTGCTACTGACTTCATACGGCTGCTCCTCGTGGTCGATGAGATATTCATCCACATCAAACAGGCTCTTGTAGTAGTTCATGTTTTTGGTCAAATAGGGCTCGTCTGGGTTCTTCTTGAGGAAGGTGTGGGTTGCAGACACAGCCTTCTCCATGTTGTTAAGCTGAGGAGGAACACAAGGCATGATCACAATTTCCACAAAACTCACACGAAGGACCTCATCCTTACTGGTCAATTGTGCAACAGGAAGAATGTCCTATTTTCCTACGTTTGCAGTGCAAATGTGGTGCTGGCAGTGAAGGACAAGCAGTGCTCAAGTGAAGATATTCTTGTAATCCATTAATTATCCATTTGACTTTGATTTAGAGTTTTTGAGGCTTAGGAACATCATCTCTCTTTACCTGCCTTTTCTATAAGTTTTTTTTTTTAGAAAAGGCTTGTAGGAAATCCTTTCTTCTACTTGAGGTGGAAAAAACAATGTTCTTTCTGAACAGCCCATTTCATACTTGAACTCATTGGAAGCCATAATGGAAACTTCTTTTTTTTTTTTTTTTTTTTAAGAAAAAGATAATTCTGTCCAGACTGATCCATGTCAAGAACAGGTTGCAATAACTCCCAAACAAACAAATGTCTCTGTTCTGGTGCATTGTGTATTAGTCTTTAAAGTTAAGATCTGAATGCTAGACAAAAACAAAGCTAATAAGAGTTTTAAAATATTTTTTTAAAAAACGTAAGAAATAACTCATAAGTGATTGTGAATGCTGATTCTGTCGAGCTTTGATTGAACATAGAAATACTAGTCTTGTTATTTATTTGTATTTAAAGTGGTAGACTGCAGATACTGCCTACATACATAAAAAAGAGGGTGTTGATGTCAATCGGCTGCAGGTTGATTACAAAATATGAGTGATTCATTCATTCACCTCCTACTAGACCAGTCCACTCACACAAGTCTTGTCTAGAATTGAAACATGGACTTAGTGATCAACTCCAAAGAATGGAGTTGATCACTCAGTCCAGATCAAGCTGTGCTATAAATTCTGTAACAGAATAATCTTATTGTGTATTTATTTTTAATCTTCACATTCTTGCTAATAGTATGTACTGAAGCTGTTGTTGTTTCTTTTTGTGTCATTAAGCCGCTTTACTTAATTAGAAGTAGCATACTGACTGATAAAAGATAAATCCGATTAGAGATTTTATTGGGGATTAGCATTAATCCCGAGTTATTTCAGATCAATTCCAGAATAACTTATCTAAAATTATAATGTTTGATAAAGGTCGCTTCCTGGAAAGGCAAAGTTCATTCTTCAGGTTTTGAAAAGCTATCACTGACTTGTAAACATCAACATAATCTCATGTTACTTAACTTCACTACATATATCGGACCTAACAGAAAAAAACAAACAAAAAAAACTTTAAAAAAATATAATGCTGAAATGTGTAAAGATTTTCTGAAAGACTCTTCAGAAAGTCTGAATAAATATTGCATAAATTTTAACAGATTACAACAAAACATCAAAAAGTGAGAGGCACATTTCATTAAGTGGTCTAGCATGGCTAAGGCAACACTATTAAATCCCCCACAAGAGAGGAGAATTGGGGGATTGTTTTCAGGGAGACACTGGAAGAGACGTGGCACATGCTCAATTCGGTCTGCAGGAGGGCGCAACAAGGCAGCAGAGAAACTGCCCTCCTCACCTCTGACTAGAAGTTTCTTCTCACTGAGTCCATTTGGGTGTATTTACTATAGGGAGTCTGCTATTCATATTTTAGCAAAGCTACAATCATACGCCAAGATTCCAGAAGGAAAGCAAACCTGAATCACACTCTCAAAAGAAAAACAACTACCGCACAGCAAGTCAAGCGCAAAACGTCAGCATCCAGGCCACAATAGACCCAAATCAAAGCTCCCAGGTCTCACCTGATAATAAGCATACTGAATGTACCGATACGGTATCCTTTTCTCAAACGTTTCCAGTAAATCCCTCCGTGGATAGGAGAATTTAAAAACTGGGAACTCTGCCTTGCACTTTTTCAGGCAGGCAGCCCTCAGCAGGATGTGGCGCACAACGCGGAGGCTGCTGTCGGGGAGCGGGGAGTCGCTGTCCCGGCTCGCGGACCTGCAGTTTCGGCCGCAGAACGCCTCGCTGTCCCGCAGCAGCCGGTGGAGCCGCAGGCTGAGCTCCAGGTACTTGACGCTCTCCGCCCAGCTCTGCGCCGCGTACTGCTCCAGCGCGTAGTTGTACGCGGACTCCAGCGGCATCATGTCCTTCTGGGGGAAACTTTTGAAGCTGTACTTCTCATACTGAGCCTCCACCAGGAAGGGCATGAGAAGGGCCAGGCACAAGTTTCTCGGGAGCATCATTCCCATTCCCCGACAAGAGCGGGAGTCCTCTCCGGCTTTGAATGGATCCAGGAGACTAACCCCCTTTTTCGCCTCTTAACAAGGTTTGCTCATGTCTGCCTGCACGTAGACAGTAAAATCCCTGTAGGAATAAGACACTAAAAACTTGAATCCTTAGGCAATATTTTCAAAATAAAAGTTTTTCAAACATTGTAAATCTTTGAAAAAAAATAAAGAATGTCTAGTTTATTGAATACCAACCTCGTGCTTTTTTTTAGATCTAAATGTTTTAAACGGGACACATTTTCAAACAAAAGTTATGCATCATCTTTAATTCAAGGAAACGGGTCATTTCTCGTTTAGAAATTCCAATTTCAACTCTTGGAAATTATTCTGAAGGTACAACTTCCTGCTAACGGTGTAAATGGTGATAATTTTCTCTTGCTTGACAGCAAGCAAAAGTCTGGACCTCAAGGAGGAAAGCCTGTAAATACTCAGTTTTGTCACTTAGCAGGCGTCTAGCAACCCCTGGTTATTACAATATTAAACATCTTTTATTTATATTAAATATTAAAAATATTTTATTTTTCAACAACGTAATTTTACATGTTCCATTCGTAACTTATAAAATACTTATCAGCAGATTTATTTGAAAAGTTTTGAAAGTTTTTGGCCCTACTTAAAGTCTCCGTAAACTTGCAAGATTAAACATTATGAGTTTGAAAACCATTCTGCGTTTTAACAATGAGTACTTTTCAGTCTAAGCGAGAATAATCTTCTTTTGGACAATAACATTGAATTTACATTTAGTTACCCAATAAAATCAATTTTGATAAACTTTCTAAAGATTGCGGATTTAATCCCACTGTCCTATTCGGGATTTGGCGTTTCCTGCATTAAAAACATGGGGACGGTCGGCATCGTAAACCAGCCTTTACACGTTTGCAGAATTCCATTAGAAAGTAGGAGGCGGCCCGGGATCTCCTCCTTTTCCCTCTGCGGTTCTTTGCGGCGCAGAAACTTAAGGGTGCGGTAAGTTAGACAAAAGAGACGCAAAAGAGCCGGAAATGACGACTGATTTACATCTAAGTAAAAACACAAGGTAAAAACTATTTACAGTAGCATTGCATGAGGTAAAATTGGTGTGATTTTTACTAAACTGTATTTCAAAGAAAGAAAGAAAGAAAGAAAGAAAGAAAGAAAGAAAGAAAGAAAGAAAGAAAGAAAGAAAGAAAGAAAGAAAAGTTCATCCTTTTAATTGTGGCTCTTCAGTGTTGTGCTTTGCTGATTTGTGGAAAATTTGTAAGTTAGTCACTTGCCATCCATTTTAACTTAAAAAAAAATCCCACATAATATTTAGAAATCTAGTGAAATGGGGAGGAACTGGGATTTAAGTGATTTTGAGTCTGACTTGGTTGCCAATGACAGACATGCTGGTTTGTATTTCAGACACTGAGAATCTAGTTATTTATTTATTTTGGTGTGTTTGTTTTTACCGTCTTTTAAAACAAAAGTCAGAAAATTGCCTACAAAAGAAATCCAGTAAGCAACAGTCATAATAATGCCCTTGCTGTCAGAGGAGAATATCTAAAGTGGGCTGAGGATAAATAAATGTAAATCCTGATTTAAATTAAACTTACTGTTATTTTGAAAACCCTGACCGGAAGCTGCTTTGCTTCTTCCCGCAACCTTTACACTCAAACTGCCCCGAACGTTCTGCGGCTCTTTCTCCTTTCTCCACCCCGCTTTATGAGTCGCATCACCCCGCTATCGGCTCCAGGGGATCTGTGCTCTCCTCTACTGTTTTTGCCCTGAGGTTCCAAATGGATATAAAGAAATGCTTCGGACTTCTACTTTTTGTTTTCGTTGTGGACTGCAACCCCGGCCCGTTGGCGGACATCGTTGTGGATCGGTACGAATTACCGAAAGTTTGTGCCAGAGAAGTTCAAACGGAAGATTTTATCCGATATCACTTCAACGGGACCTTCTATGAGGACGGGAAAAGGTTTGACTCCAGGTGAACTTAAAGGGAACGTAATCACGTTTACTTCGAGGCGATAATTAGAGCCAGATTTAGATGTCTGTAAAAGAGAAATGCAACAAAAAAGAAGTCAAAACATGCGAAGTTAATGACAGAGTTCAACTCTAGACAAGGTCTCAGAATGATCTTTGGCAGCTTGTAGACGTGTCAACTTTGCAATAATCATAACGAGAACCGTCCCGTTAGCTACAGAGAGGTTTGCATTCATTATTACATATTTGAGCAGACTTCTTTTTCAACGGCGATTATTCACTCTTAACTCACTTGTAACAGGAATTGCAAACGCTTGGATTTAATTTGCGTAGGTCCAAAACTACACACGCAGGCATAAAATCGTACACGCCCCCTTTATTATTGGGGCTTGCAAAAATATTGGGAAAATGCGCAGAAGCTTAATGTTGCCTCTCTTTTTTTTATTATTCCAATCTCAGTTTTGATGCGTGGCATAGACCCTTTCTTTTCAAATTTCTGTGATTTATCTGAGGCTAAACACTTTAATGATCCCACAATGCTCCAACATACCCGGAGGCATTATCACTGACTGTGGACAAATGGTACGATCTTTGTTGCTTCTCATAAAAAAATAAAAAAGCTGTTTTCTCAGTCAATTCCAGAAGGTAATGTTAACTTCCACTGTTAACATCCAACACCTATAATTTGTTCCACATTTCAGCCACCAGATGTTGATTTGAAGTTGAAGAATTGAGAGCTAACTTTCTGTCTTATATCAGATTGACTTTTGCAATGTAGCACTATTACTGTCAGCAAAACGGCATGACACTACCGCCTATGTGTTTGATCGTTCGTAGGGTTGAAAGCAAAACACAAACTTCTTCAAACATACTTCTTCAAAAGCTCAATCTATTTTTTGTCGCGGTACCACAAAACCTTCTCCAGAAGGCGTTGAGCAATAACAATTTTCTTTGCCCTGCCTCTGCAGCTATGAACGAGGTAAAGCCTTCGTCAGTCAGGTGGGACTTGGTAAGCTCATCACAGGGATGGACCGAGGTCTGCAGGGCATGTGTGTCAACGAGCGCAGAAGGATCACCGTCCCGCCACACCTGGCATACGGAAGTGTTGGCACAGGTGCGGCTCAGCACCACACTGGACAACTTTTATTTGTTTTTCTTGTTGTTGTTTTTTTCCATTGTCTGTGTGTTGATTATGCCAATGTGTGTCGATGGGCCCACAGGTGGACTGATCCCTCCCGACGCCACTCTGGTGTACGATATCCTCCTGCTGGACATATGGAACCCTGAGGACAAGGTCCAGATCCGCACGATCAGCAAACCTGGGATCTGCAGGCGCACTACCGCAGTGTCAGATTTCATCCGTTACCACTACAACGGCACGCTGCTGACTGGTGAAGCGTTTGATTCCAGGTGAGTCAAACATCACTGTCCTTTGGACAAAAATGTTTGATCCGTGTCTCCAAAAAAATTTCAAACAATTTTTTTTTTTTTTGCAGTCACTCAAGAAACACAACTTATGACACCTACTTGGGGCAGGGTGACATCATCGAAGGCATGGATGAGGGTCTTCTGGGCATGTGTGTTGGGGAGAGACGGATCGTCATTGTCCCACCATTCTTGGCGTATGGCGAGACCGGCCATGGTAAAAGTTAAAAAAACTATATGAAATGACAATTCTGGCCTAAAACTATTTGCTTTTTCCAACCGTGTTTTTTTTTTTTTTTTTTTAGCTTGTTCCACTGTGCATAATATTTTAAGTAAGTTGTTACTCCAACCATTGTTCTCCTCCCTTAAGGTACCAAGATCCCCCCACAGGCGACGCTTGTGTTTGAGGTGCTGTTGGTTGATGTGTTTAATCCTAAGGATGATGTGACTGCAGAGGTGAGAGAGATGCCTAAAGACTGCACACGCAGGACAGTCACTGGGGATTACATCCGCTACCACTACAACGGCACCTTCCAGGACGGCACGTTCTTCGACTCAAGGTAAACTCCAGCAGTTCTTAAAGTAAATAAAGTATCTTAACTCTAAGCCCCTCCACTACACTTCCTCTAACAGCTACCAACGAAACAGAACCTACAACACATACATCGGAATGGGATATGTGATCCACGGCATGGATAAAGCTCTGCAGGGCCTGTGCATTGGGGAGAAAAGGAGAATTACAATTCCTCCTCACATGGCTTATGGAGAAAAAGGCGCTGGTGAGTTTGACGCCTGCATTTAGGAGCTTTTAAAACAAACCGAGAGGGCGTGATAAAACCATAAGTTCTGCCTTTTTCTTTTCCCTCCGCGGTCACAGGAAACCTCATTCCTGGCTCCGCTGTGCTGATCTTTGACGTCCACGTTATTGACTTCCACAACCCCAAAGATTCGGTCGAGATCAGAGTCACCCACAAGCCTCAGGAATGTAACATGACCAGCGAAGCCGACGATTTAATTCACTATCGCTACAACTGCTCCTTGATGGATGGCACGCTTCTGTACTCCTCGTGAGCGACCCCTGCTGTTCACTCTGCAACACCACACCCTCCACCCTGGTGCATGTAAACATCGCTGGCTCCTTGTCTGACAGTTTTCACAGAGTTTTGGAGTAGACGTAACCGTTCATGCATCCGACAGGCGTATACAGCTGCATGTTTTACTGAGCTGGGATTTTTAAAAAAAATCTTCTGTTAAAAGCTAAAACGGATTATCTGTGGCTTTTCAGGGACCAGTTCGACTCGCCTTCTGTCACGACTCTAGGAGCCAGTAAGGTGATCCTGGGCCTGGAAGAAGGTTTAAAAGGCATGTGTGTGGGCGAGAGGAGAGAGGTGGTGGTCCCTCCGCACTGGGGTCATGGAGAGGAAGGAGGTGAGTTTCTGGAAATGCTTAAATAAAAAAATAATAATAATAATACATTCAATTTCACATTATTTATAAGAAATATTCACATACGTTCCTGATTAAAGTGAATTATTTCACTTTAATATGACAAAATCTGAAAAAGTTCAAGAGAATTGACTACTTTTCTGTAAATCCTTTCTCATCTCTTCTGACTGGAATTTTTTTTTAATTTTTTGTAGCTGTAGGAGTTCCAGGAAGTGCAGTGCTCCTTTTTGAACTGGAGCTGGTGCAGCTGCAGAAAGGTGTGCCAGAAGGCTTCATGTTTGTCTGGCTAGGAGAAATCCCCAACCCCCTTTTCAATGCTCTCGACCTCAATGGGGACAAAGAGGTCCCTCTACAGGAGGTAAGCAGGAATGTTTGGTCAGATTTTTTTTTTTTTTTTTAGAATAATCTGTTAACAAGCAGCAAGATGCTCTCCTCTTTCCCCTCCCGCAGTTTTCAGAGTTCATCAAACTGCAAGTCAAAGAGGGCAAAGGTCGTCTTCGGCCAGGCGTCGACATCGAAGGCGTTGTTAAAGACATATTTGATAATCAGGACCAGAATAAAGATGGAAAAATTGTAGAAGATGAACTGAAAATTAAGGATGATGAGTCTGAACAAGTGAGGCGAGATGAGCTATGAGCAGCAGCGAAGGGGAGCGCACAGGAACTGGAAATGTCCGCTTCACAACGATCCGGCAAGAACTTCTCAAAAACATTAAAGGTAAATGAAGAAGTCATTGGAAACCATGTCACTTACCCTTACTCATGTGCAACTAAATGATATTATTTTCTTTTGATACATTTAAAATTGAAACCTGTATTCACTTTTAAAAAGTCATAAAGTCCCATGAAAATCTATGTTGAAGTTAATGGTCGAAAAGGTTTATTTATGTAAAGTTCATGCTGTGCTTCTGAATTTTCTTTTGTTTTGATAGAATAATTAAGAACTACTGGTCTATTGCATTATAACCATGTAAGCAAAAAAATAAATTTTTGTAATAAAATTGAGTTCAGTTTCTTTCACATGTTCTGCACATAGTGACGGGTTCTTTTCTTTTCTGAGACGAGTTTATTGAAATGAAATCATGTTTAATATCAGGAAAGTGAAAAAAAACATCATTTCTTAAAAGGTCCAAACAGAAAAGATTGCTCACAAAGACTGAATAAAACAAAAAAAAAAAACTTTATAGGAACCTTACACTGCAATTCAAAATGTATCACGAAACACAAACTGATGTTTTAAGATGAAATTAATTGTTGGGTGTCAGGTTGAAAGTTTATGGAGGGGTGATTTATTGTGCATAAAATGGTTACAAATCTTGTTGAACCAAATGGGGAAAATAAGGTGCCACATTTTTATTGTGCGTTTTATTTTTAAATATTAAATCCAACATTAAAACAAGAAATGCTTAAACGGAACTAAAAAAAAAACACCAATAACCTCATAAACATACATTTGACTGCCACAAACAGGTCCAGGGTGGTTCAAAACAACAGTGAGGTTTGCAACCGAATGTAAAACAACTTGGGGTCTGAGACAGACTCACTCGGGTATTCTTAGTTTTTTTTTTTGTTTTTTTTTTTTGTACAGTAAAATACGCAATGCCTTGCAAAAAGAATTAATATCTTTTGAACTTTTTAATGTTGTGGCTACATTACAAAATGTGAAGAAGTTCAAGTGGTGTCAATACTTTTGCAAAGCACTGTGCTATTTATTCCCATTGGGTCTTTGATAAGAATCCCGGTAACACTGGGAGGTCAGGTCGCTGCTCAGCCGATGGTCCTGGTGTGTTTTACAGCCAGTTTTACAACTGAACTGAAAACAGTTCAGTTGTTACCAGTAAGAAGTTGGAGGACAGCATTAGGAATTTCCAAGGATTCATCTTTCACCAACACAATGTCATACGAGTCCAAATAGGACTGTTTGCTCTCCTCAATCTAAAAAGAAATAAAAAAGCAAAACAGTCATGGTTGGAAACCATAGGGATTAGCTGAAATATATCAGGCTTTTGCTTACCTTGTCATTCAGGAACCCAATCTTGAGGATGTGCTTCATATCCTGAACTCCATCAGCCATGTTCAGGTCCCCCAGAGAGTCTCCCATCAGCAGGACATTTGGTCTCGACCGCAGCTCCTCGAAATGGCCCGTGTTTAGCAGCGCACCTTCTCTTTTATTGTAGACGTGAATCAACTCTCCCTTGAAAGCCCTCAATATCCCCTGGTTAATCAGAGACGTCTTAATATCACAGAAATCTGTAGTTTTGGAATAAAATATATATATTTTTTAAAGTGCTGAACAACTCACAGTTTCGTCAAAGTCCATGTAGTTGGAGATGACTTTGACGTTAGGGTGGAAGACGTTGGCTTGCCGTATCACCTCTTCCAGGATGTCTCCGATTCCGGCGGAGAAGATGAGCAGAGGGATGGCGTGCTGGTTCAGGCGGTCGAAGAACAGTTCGTAACCCTCCCTGTTGCAGCATCGCCACATTTTAGCTCAACTTTCCCTTTATGGATCAACCACAACTTTTAGTCTTTAGATATCCTTACCTCAGCATTGCATCAGACTCACGCACTGCCACAGCCAGCTCCTCTTTTTTAATGTTCTGCTCCACAAGAAGGTCATGAGCTTTGGTCCACCTATGAGAAAGTCTCACCTTTTCAAACACTATCCCCCCAAAAAAGCCTAGAAACTGGAGCATATCAGTGAGAAATACTCACCACTCCACCATTAAAGGCAGCTTCTCTTCAACTGAAAGTGAAGTGTTGATCTCTATGGGATAATAAGTCTGGAGAAGATCATTCAGCTGTGGAGGACAGAACAGGATTCTGAGATCTAACTACAGAAAAGGGTTAGATAAGCACAGATACCCTTTATATACCAGGAATAATCCATTTTTTAAAAACTTAAAACATGATCCAAAAAACAGGAGCGAAATAAAAACAGTGTGGCAACAAACATTATCAACTAGAATGAGATTTCTTTACATTTTGCATTAAGCTTAGATCAACCAGCGCAAAAAATATTTCAGAATAATCTGTCCTACCTTTTGGCGGCACTCTTCAGAGATGGCTTTGCTGTTGTCAAGAATATCTGCCAAAACAAACAATTCAACAACTTATGTTGGATAATTTCTTTTTTCCATATGGCTGCAATTATTCTTTTTTTTATTATTATTTCTAAACTCTCATTGATGTGTCCTTCACAAGGCATCCACAGGGGAGTCTTCTGAAAGCACATATTTTATTCAAGCAAAACTAAAAGATGATTTTAAAGGGACTGCTGCTAATGTTACCTTTAGAGAAACACTTAACAGTTCAATTAATTTATTATGAAACTTCATATGTTTTAGTCAAAAGCTAAAAAAAACAAAAAACAAAACAAACAAAAAAAACTAAATGCATAGCAACACTAACTGTTTACTTACTGTGACACGTAGGACATCGCTTCCCATTGTATTGGAATCTCGTCAAGGTCATGTCAAAATCCGAGATCACCTAAAAATAACAAGAATATGACGTTTGATTTCGACCCAGTGTTCCTGCAGGCTTTCCAGTATTTCTGAGGAGTTTCAGAGTAGATACCTGCAGCGTGTTGGGTCCAGCGTCTAACAGGGACTTCAGGATATCTTGTACCCTCTGAGGATCCTTCATCAACACGGATTCATTGGACAGCTCGGGAATCTGTTCAGACACGTTTGAAAATGGTAACAGCAATTCGTTAACAGCTATTACATACCACGATAAAAAAATAAATAAAAAAAAACTAGTTTTAAAACCGAAACAAAAGCAAACTAAACTAATACATGATTTAAAAATTTATTAGTTGTATAGTCTTGTCATCACCCATTACTAAAATTTGACTTATAAAGTCAAATTAGTTTTTAAGTCGTTCTTTCTCTTTATGTGACTTACAAAGTTATTAGCTTCACCATAGTGGTAGCTTAGCATAAAGTTAAATACAATTTAGCTAGCTAGCCCAATGCAAATATTACTTGCGCGAAGTAAAGATTTACATGTTTTTAGGTTATTCTGAATGTTTACAGAGTAGCATTACCATTTTAAAAAACAAATTGTGCGTTGCGGCTTTTTCGGGCAATGTCTGCATCGCAAGAGAACTATGTGTACCGGCTAAAATACAGTGCTGCATTCATACTACCGTGTGTGTCAGAATTGTTTTTACAAGTGTGTTTACTAATACACTGATTAGGTTAAAAACCCTGTTTTATTACAATTAGGTCACTTTATAAACAATTCTTATTTCTATGCATTCAATGTAATCTTAAATTTTAATATATTTTTGGAGTTTTCCCGTTACCGTTTTACATACGAGCCGACGAGTGACCCGTGAAGGCATCACTATTCTTACCTAACCGTCCATGTGCAACTGTCCCCCTGAAGCAAAACCACCCATTTCAGGTTCCCACCAGTCCCATACACAAATACATATCAATAAATTTGAATATCACCGAAAATGTAAGCGTTGTATAGAATCATTATACATAGAGTAATATTTTTCTGTCAATCTTTATGATCGAGGCTTCTAGCAAATGAAAACAACTGCAAAAAAATAAAAATAAATAAATAAAATCGGTTTATGAAAAATAAGTAATTCATTAAAAAAATAAATTATTAAAGTACTGATTAAAAGTTAATATATAATAATAATGATAATAATAATTGTTATTGTTATAATTACAGAAATGTCAGTCTGCTGAAAATCATCTCCATGTACTGTGCAAAATATGCACGCCATACTCATTTTTCCCCTATTTTATTATTATTTTTTTTTTTAACTGCATGGCCTAATTACTGCATCAGTGTGTTGTCGAAAGGAGACAATTAGCTTGTAAGCTTAGTGAGTCAAGGAAGTATGTATGGTAACTTTTAAAGCACAGAGTTCAACTACAAAAGAATCTCACCACAACTCTTTAACTTCACAATCTTCTCAACTCTTCGTGGGGGCCTTTCGCTACGAAACATTTTTTTCCACTTAGCTTTTCATCCATATGCATGTACAGTGTACAACTTACTCTGTTGTCAGGCTCAATGATTTTCTTTTGGTCAACTCTAAAGTCAGCAGAATAACATTTCTGCAATTTTATTTTTTTTAGTTAGTTTATGTCAATCAGAGATGGCAAATATTACGTTTTTTTTTATAAGTTTGAAATATATCACTATGTATGCAATAAAACACTTCAATAACCATCTAAATAATTCAGATGAACCTGTAAATTGATTGGTACAGCTTAATACAGAAAAGTAATTGAACACTCCAGGAACCTTATTTACTATTTGAGTGAAAGACCAGAATGCTACTTATTCTTTATTCAATTGGCAACCTACTGCTGGCACCAAAACTATGCTCTGACTAATGCCAATTAAAGAGTTTGAGTAAGCATTGAACAGAGTCAAGAGTCAAAGTAACAATACACATATTTATCTTACAAAAACAGCTTTAATTGCAAGTGATGCCATTAGTACTTCTTACATCGAAATATAAGGACACAATGTCAGACTATCACATGCGAAGCAAATACATAGCTTATTTCAGTTAAGATCTGCAGTGCTATTTATATTGGTCATAAAGTGGAAATGAATATCATTTCTACGCTCTTTAACCTTGGTACTGCACAGCTCCTGAATGTCAGTCACAACAAATTCATAGCAATCCCTTCTTTGTCTTTAGGTTTGATTCCTTTTTATTACATCTTTACGTCTCTTTGGTGGGCAACAGGAGACACCTCCAATGTACACCCAAGTCAAAATGAAGTAACAGAAATAATTTTTTATGAGATATTTAATATTTGAAACAATTCCATCCATACTGATGGTAACATCTTTGCTCAGAGTTCAAAACTTACTTGCTGAAATCCAGTTTTAAAAAAAAATGGTATTTCCAAAATACAATCACCTTGTCTGATATGACACAACTGAAACAATGCTAAATCAAGGTGCAGCAACAACTTTAAGACTTTACAACTAATAAGAGGTTGAAAAAGTGCAGTTCTACGAGACAACCTTAACCATTCTTAGCAAAACAATAACCGAACCCTGTGCAGACACAATCCATAGACAGTCTTGCATTCATATGCATAAACATTTTTTTACATTTTCTGTTTGAATTAAGAAGATAAGTGGAAAAATTTAAAAAGTGCAAAAGAAAGGAATGATTGAGCCAATGATTTTGGTGCTTAATAAAGAGGCAGAAAAAAAAGAAATGTACTGCATAAATAAGTGAAATGTTGTTGAAACTTACACATTACTAGAACCTGGAGATCACACTGCCCCTCTGAGAACTGTTAAAGCATTACATGTACATAAATGACCAAAATACACTACAATTGCTGAAGACAAAGGGAGAGCATTCTAGAAGCTTTTGCGATGAAAAGTCTTTCTTGACTATCCAGGAAGAAAAAACCAGGTAACCTATATGTTATATTCACAGTCAATGTTGAATGTTTGAAGTAGCAAGCGAAGTCCTTTTTTAGTAAGTTGGACTTTTCATGAAGGGATTGTCACAGTGTTAGGAAGGAAGGAAATATGGAACTCTTAAGAAAGTAGGAATGCAATACTAATGTTATTACTGATGTCACATATTCCTGCCAGTAGAGGCTTATACAATAAAGGAATGTGAAGTATCAATTTAGACATATACAGCTTTATACTATACAAATAGATAAACAGCATCTTTATCAACATTAATTACTAAAGCATACTTAGTTTTTTTGGCTGCTGAAAAACACTCTTATAAACATGTGTACATCTGCAACATACCGCCTGAATGACCTGCATACACATTTCATGGCTTTAAGTCAGTGATTAATACAACAACATGGGAGCTAATGCCACGCAGCTTAGATGAGCGACACCCAATGAGAACAACACATCATTCACAGCAGCGGGTTACATATGAGGGGTGGAAATCTTCAGACGCTGCCGGCCCCGTTCAGCACTCTATCTGCGACTGGAGCTGTCGACGCAGGGTTAGGGTGCGCCTGTGGAGCTGCTGCATCTGCTGCATACGATCGCGCTGGCGAGCCAGGTTCTGGGGCATGGGGTAGCGCTGGCAGCCGTACAGGAAGCGGTACGGGATGCGGACGTGGCAGGCGGTCGCCCGGCAGCGAGGCTGCGGCATGGGCGGCAGCAGCATCCAACGCTTCCTCTCCGCACAGTAGCGGTAGGCCTCTTTGCGATACTGCTTGTCAACGTCGTCGCTGTTCTTCCAGCCTCCAATGATGAAGACGTCCTCATCAAAATGGCAGATGGCGGCACCCTCTATGCTGGTCACTTCTGGCGGCAGGCTCTCCAGGATTTCATCAGAGATGCGGGCACTAATCTTCTGCCTGGCGACTTCGTCCCGCACTGCGTAACTCTTAGGGCAGCAGGAAGCTGTGTGGTAGAAGTTAGTCGAAGCCACGGCCATCTGGAAGATGCAATAGTTGTCAATGAGTGGCAAGGAGTCGACATCCTGCCATTGGCGGCTTTCGGTGTCATATCGGGTGGTCACCGTCTTCAGTCCATCATCATTATCCGTGTCCACAGGTGTGCGTGCCGTCACATATACATAGCGATCCTCCACGCTAACCGCTTTCACATCTCGCAGGATCTTAGGAGCCGATTCCAGATTGTGCCACTTGTCCTGCTCAGGCTCATACACACTCACATCCTTGAAGCCTGGACTGAAGTTGCCATGCCCACCAATGCTGTACAGGATATCCTTGATGCACGTCAGCCCAAAAGAGTGCTTGCGCGTTGTTAAGTTGCTGACCTGCTCCCAAGTGTTGCGATTGGGATTGTAACGTTCCACTGTCTTTGCAAATCCTGGCTCCATCGATCCAGCTACATAGACATGGGACTCTGTGGTGGCGATAGCGTGGCCATCCAAGTGGTTGTGGATGTGAGGGAGGTTCACCCATCGATCCTCATAGATGAAGTACCCCACACACTCACTCAGATAGTCCCCGCCCTCTGACACCCCACCCACCACCATGATAACGTCCATGTTCTGGCCGAACCGCGGCTGAAACGAGGCCATGTGGGAAGACCAGAACTCCATATCTGCTGACTTGAGGTTCTCAAAGCGAATTGCGTGGCCCTCTACAGCCTCTGACACCAGTCGCAGGCAGGCTTCATTAGAGGCCACAAGTCGTTCATTTTTCACCACCCTGGCCAAGTAGGTGGGTTTTATCTGGGGAAGCCTGAGGAGACGAAACAGCTCCTCGAAGTAGCGACTTCGCTCTTCTGGGTTCTTCTGCACCCACTTCACCACAGCCTCAAACAGCACCTCCTCTGAATCCACAGTGATCTCCGCATCTGACAGCCAGTCACGGACCAGGTGAAAGGGCAGCGTGTAAAACTCCTCATCCTGGATAACCTTGTGGAAATTGCGGCGAATCATGTCTGCGGCCCGCAAAGCCAGCTGGTCCAAGGTGTACATGTGAGCTAGACTGTGCACTGCCACACAGTTGGTCAAACTCAGCTTCTTCTTGAGGAACTCACCACAGAAATCTTTGAGCTGCAGCAGCAAGAACCTTCAAATAAAGTAACAGATAAAAAACACAATGAAAAACATCAGAGGGAATTGAGGGGTTTCAAGAAAAAGAGCTTGCAACTATCATTAAAAAAAAAGTGTAATGTTAGGACATGTAGCATATTTCATTGGGATTTTATAGGCAAGACTAGCAATGCAAATAGCATATTATGTTGAGTTGAAAGGAAATTGCACTGGTGTTTCAAATTTATCTTACAAATAAGAGTCTGATATCCCTAAATAAAATCTTGTACAATCGATAGCCATCAGAAGTCACCTAATTGTTAAATACAGTTCACCTGTGTCTCATGCAGAGGTTCCCAAACTGGGGGGTGCGCCCCCGCGGGGGGGCACCGTGTTATTGCAGGGGGGGGGGGGAAGCTGTCTGGATAAAGAAAACAAAACAAAAAAAAAACATGAACGCTGTATGCACTGGGTTTTTACCTTAGAATGGCCAACTCTCTGTTATTTCTATGTCAATTTGATACAATAGGGGCTTCTTTCGCACTTCCCATATCTGTGTCCTATGTTACTTTTATCAGCAGTTAAAACTATTTAATCCGTTGTTAACATGTGGAAACCTGTTTTTCCGAGCCGCCTTTAAACGCAACATGAGCGCTACGACACTGGGTTT